TATTTTATTTTCCAAACACAGTCAGCACATTGTGGCGGTATACATAGTTGATATTATTGACTGTTGGATTTTTCGTTTTTATCAATGTGCTATCCGTGTTTGAGGAAAAACATTCCTATAACTCTAGATACATACATAAAACAATCCGTTGATAATGGCTAAATGTTTAGCCGAAACCGCTTGGAAAATATTCAGACAACCTTTATATAATTTATGTCCTGAAAAGAAAAAATTTATAGGAATTATGAGAAGTTATATAAAAAAAATCAACCACAACATCTTGACAGTCGTTTTCAACGAAACTAGCATAAAATTCTTTCCAAATACACCATTTTATATATATATATATATATATATATATATATATATATATATATATATATATATATATATATATATAGTTTTAAAGTGTGCTAAATTTATGGGATAAAGTGCTCAATATCAGAGATAGAGTGTATGTAAATATAAATATAAAAGTGAACAATATATATATATATATATATATAATTATAAAAATATAGTTTTAAGGTACGCTATATTTAAAAGTGCTCCGGCAGAGATTGAATATAGTATCTTATAATAATAATAATACAATAATATTAAATGGTAAGCAAGATCCGCTACTCAGTTTCATGTCGTAACACAATCGTAAAGCATATTACAATCTGCGTCACGATTATCTTCCAACATGAAACTTTGAGTAGCGGATTTAGATTACCGCTTTAATATTATTGTATTAATATTATTATAATATTCTCTGTGTGTATATATATATATATATATATATAATATATATATATATATATATATATATATATATATAAATGTATATACAAAGTCTATATATATATATATATATATATATATATATATAAAGTGTGTATATATATATATATATATATATATATATATATATATATATATATATATATATATATATATATATATACACAAAGTCTGTCAAAATATGTATACACCATTCAGGAAAGGAAAACTTCTCTTTCGTTGTTTTTTAAACATTTTTCCTGCGCGGGATCCTAAAGGTTTTGTGTATCACAGAAAACTGACTACATTGGCGGCCCTTAGACAAAGAATTTGGAAATGCATGTGCCGCAATCCTACTGGAAACTTTGACCAACGTTGCCCAAGCAGTAGTTATCCTCAGTAATAAATGACTGAAATCTAAAAGCCACCATTCACCATTTTGAGCATCTCTTGCGATTGTAGAGTCCAGTGGTATAAATTTAGTATTACAATATCTATACAAGTTTTTCCTTTCCTGAAGTGCGTATACATTTGGGGGGGTGTTCATGTTCATGTAATAATAGGAAAGAACAGTTAGATTAATAATCCAAAGTTCTTTAGTGTTTATTTTGTTTTTATTTTTAAAAGTTTCTTTAGTATTTATTAGTATATATTACTTAGTTTTTAAGTTCTTTAGTATTTTATATATATATATATATATATATATATATATGTGTGTGTGTGTGTGTGTGTGTGTGTGTGTGTGTTTGTGTGTGTGTGATAAAATCTTTGGCAATCTATCAGAGAATGTCAACAATAAATTTCACTTCTCTTCCTCTTCCAGTCTCACTTGCTCATCGTTCCTCATTCTTTTCTTTCATTTTCTTCGTCTCTCTTTTTTCTTCATTTCTTGGCGCCTCGTTCCCGCTGCAAATAAACACATGACCAACGTTACGAAATGCGGAAACCACTGACGTCTCTATCTCAACCACACCTTGCGTTCGTGTCCGGTCGGATTTGCATCAGACCTTCACAAGTGGCTGTCCCCACTGCCAATGTTGATCTTTTCGCTGTCCGCTCGTCCTTACCATCCTTCCGCCGGTTTAAGCTACTTTGTAGTCGCCTAATAATAGTTTGTCGCCTTTCTCATTAGAGAGCTCCAGCTGACTGGCCAAATGCATTCCGAGCGAAAGGTCAGCCTGTAGGACATCGGACACAATTTAAAAAGAGGATATTTTCTCTTTCTTCTTTGCTGTTCAATCTTCTTTCATGACGTAGGTGACCATGGCTCTCCGCAACACTAATTTTTTATCTTTACTATCGGTCTTATATGCACTCCTGCGTATACCATGCAACCAAAGACAATGGCGTTATAGAATCTCGACTGCGGCCAGTCTATCAATGCATGGATGTATGATTATTATTATTATTGTCATTATTATTATTATTATTATTATTATTATTATTATTGTGCTCGTCCTTCTTTTCATTATTTCCTTAATTCACACGACCGTTACGACCTACCAATACATTATAAATAATGATTAACTTCCTATTGATTGCGTGAAAAAAGGGGAAAATACATACAGTATTTGATTTCAGTGAGAAAGAAAGAAAGAAAGAAAGAAAGAAAGAAAGAAAGATTTGTTTAACCTCTCCTGTCAATACCTCATAAATAATGGTCTATTCCGTTTTGATTACATGGAAAAACAAAACACATGAGAAACGCTACTTGGTTTCAGTTAGAAAATCAATGAAAGAAAGATAGAAATGTTTAATGGCTGTTTCAGGGCAATAGAAAAAGTTATCGATTTTAAATGTTTTCATTTGTATCCCTTTACTTCTTAAAATAACGACCAACATTCATATTTACGGTGGTTATTGCAATATTTTCTTAAAGTTGTTAAGCTCAAATATTTAACGATGTGATATGGGAATTTCTAGGGGTATTTTATTACCGTATAACACGCCATGAGCTTATTAAATCATTTCTTGAAGAATTAAGATTTATCAGAAAATTAAAATAGGAAAACCGTGAAATTTTCACAAGTTTTTCTAGATATTATTATTTCTGTTCTGCCATTTATTCACACAACCTCGTTAAGTAGGTTATTATTTATTTCCCCCAGGCTTGTCTCAAAAATATTGTTATTCTCAAAAACATTGTTATTATCATTAATATTGTTATTCTCAAAATTATTGTTATTTTCAAAATCATTGTTATTTTCAAAAAAATGTTATTCACAAAAATATTGTTATTCTCAAAAACATTGTTATTATCAAAAACATTGTTATTCTCAAAAATATTATTATCAAAAATATTATTATTATCAAAAATATTGTTATTCTCAAAATCATTGTTATTTTCAAAAACATTATTATCAAAAATATTATTATTCTCAAAAACATTGTTATTATCAAAAACATTGTTATTTTCAAAAACATTATTATCAAAAATATTGTTATTATCAAAAAATATTATTATTCTCAAAATCATTGTTATTTTCAAAAACATAGTTATTATCAAAAACATTGTTATTCTCAAAAACATTGTTATTATCAAAAATATTGTTATTCTCAAAATTATTGTTATTTTCAAAAAAATGTTATTCTCAAAAACGTTGTTATCAAAAATATTGTTAAAACGATATTCACTCGCCAGAAAAGAATTGTTCTTACAATCCAAAATATGTTTCGTCTTTAAATAATCCGAAAAGGGTTGATAAGTCGTAAAAAATCATATCAACCAAATCCCCATCATCTCTTGCCTTCAATATATCAGATGAATTTTGAAGTTACTGGGACCTCTTTCCTCATCATGTGCCTGAGAAATTTCACCCGTCTCTTTCTGATTCTTGTCCTTGTTGGTCCAGTTTTCCTAAAAACTTCTTTCTTCTTCACATACTTCGCCCATGGTTTCGGTAGAATCACATTTCTTTCACTTTAAATCACTTCTTTCTCTATGAAGAGATTGTCCATTATTCACTGCCATGTAGGAGATTAGATATTAAATAACATTTCAGCACTGTTTTTTTTTTTTTGTTGTTTTGTTTTTTTTCCTTTATCTTTCTAATAACATTTTCATGTTTTAGTCATTTGCTTAGTTTCTGGAAGGCGTCTTTTGCCGTTCCTGTGCCTCTTTAAACTTTTCCGCCATATTTTTCATCGTTTTGTTTTGTGATCTCAACGAACACTCGTTGCCACTTTTGTCAACGAATACTCGTTGTCACGTTCGTAATGCTAGTTGTAGTAGAGACTTTGTAATCGCAGATACAATAATTATTATAATAACGCCGCTGTTGAACAATACTGGTGTCAGACGCCTTCGAGTAGCACTCGCACTAATAGTACTTACTCGATAATACTCGCTCGAAAAGTAACCACAGTATTGATCCGAATAGAGAATAGTAGTAGAGAGTAGCGTTCCGTATAGTAATATAGGACAGAGTAGAAAGAGTGATCCATATAGTAATAGAGGATAGAATAGAAATAATGATCGTTAGTCGTCAGCTACTTCCTACATATATGCGTTTCCTCTATGGTTACGTGGTCTACTTAATTCAATAATGGGATCGCCTGTGTTTGCTCACTGGCGATCTATGTTCAAACTCAAGTGTCGGCAGCGACACTTTATTTCTATATAACATTTTGTGAAAGATTTTCCCTAATTTCCTTTCTTTCTTGACGTTGATGTCTCCAATTCGAGGCTCATATCCTGGGCTGTTTCTCTTGCTAACGACCACACATTCTATCTTTCTGACAAACAACGCCTAGTAAGTTAATCAAAGGAGAAGGACCTACTTTCTGATTTATAGCTGAATATTTCCTTCTGGTCGCAAATATATCCCGGTTTTCTTTCGATCATGGCTCTCCGCAGCTTCCTCTCTTTTGTTGCTTTAAGTAATTTTTTACCTCCACCATCCATCTTGTATGTAGCGATATTGGTTGTTTTACTATGCTTTCCGCTCCCAGTTCTGTCTCCATTTACACAAGTTCATTAGGTAGCCTACTAGATTTTTCCCTCTGATCAACTCGCCTTCGCTGTGTCTCGTTAGTGTTAAATTATCTAAGCCGTCTTTCCTCATTGTGTGTCCTAGAAATTTTCTTTGGTAAAATATTTCCCAAATAGTTACATTTTCGTTTTTCCTTTATGTCGACGTCTCCATTTCGTAATTCGCGTCTTGGTCTGTTTCCCTTTTGCTAACGACCACACATTCTCTCTTTTTATCTTTCCGCCAAACAAAGCCTAGTAAGGCTTACGGCTATATCAAATTGAAACACTGGTTCTCGTGGGATCACCGAAGTTAAGCAACGTCGAGCCTAGTCATTACCCAGATGAGTGATCGCTTGGGAATCCCTAGGTGTTGTAAACTTGGATGTAACGGTGATGTAATGGACAACAGTTCGGAATTTGAAATCGGAGAACCGAGTTCTAATTCTAGTGAGTTTCGTTATATTCAGTTACACGCAAATACCCTTGGGGAATGTATGTATCCGCCTCCTCCGCTTGTAGGATTTGTATCAGTAAATCATTATTATCTCCCGTCAAAAATCACTCTTACATTTTTAAAATATTTTCTGGCTTTAAATAAACTGGGTTTAAATAAACAAAGGGTTGATAAGCCGTAAAAAATCAAACCAATTAAAGCTTAGTAAATTATTCAAAGAAGAAGAGATTACTTCCTGGTTCATAGTTGAATATTTTTCTCAAGCCTCAATGTCAGGCGGTTTGAACTCGCGTACAAATTATAACTGTGAAAGCTGGGTTACAAATTTCGAAAATGTTTCTCCATTTGACTCTGTTGAAGATACTGAAATCAAGTACAGCTATTTAAATATCTGGGAAGTGTTTTAACAGAGGACGGAAAGTGCGATGCCGAAATCAGGACACGCAATTGGATAACGAAAGATGCCTTCCAAAACCTAAGCAAAGTATTAAGAAACAGGAAAATATCGTTAGAAACAAAGAAAAAAAATAGTTTTGAACTGTTATGTAATACCGATCCTCCTATATGGCAGTAAATACTAGACAACCTCATCACAGATAAAGAAAAGCAACAAAATTGTGGGTCTACAGAAGGATGCTGAGAATATCATAGACCGAACATGGGAGCAATAACGAAGATTTAGGGAAAATGGAAACAAAATTGGCAGTTATACTTAATATCAGGAAGGGACAGTTGAAGTTTCTAGGACATTTAATGAGGAAAGACGACTTGGAAAATCTGACACTCACGGGACAGGTTGAAGGCAAGAGTAAAAGAGGAAAACAGTGCATAAATAATCTAACGAGCAACAGAACATGGACTGGGAGAGATAGCAAAAAAGACAAAATATACTAAGAACTATAAAGAACGGGAAATTGTGGAGAGTCATGATCGCCAACGTCCTATATAAGCACGACCATAGGAAAAAAAAACAATTTGGCTTTTTAAAAAATAGCTGGGAATGCATTGATTACTGTCTTTTACACTGGTTATTGTCGCCAGTTATCAGATTTTAACTCGGGTAACATATGAGAAATTAGATATTACATAGCAGTTTTTTGTTTTGTTTTGTTTTTTTTCCTAGCCACATTTTCCTGTTTTAATCCTTTGTTTAGTTTCTGGAAGACATCTTCTGCTGTTCCTATGCATCTTCGGATTTCTGTGTCACGTTTTCCATCGTCTTATGATTATGAGTTGAATTTCTGTACCGGCTTGCTTTTTCATGCCACCAATTCGTAGCTCGAAAGGTGATACATATCCGTTTAAACAGCTTTAGTGTCGGAAAGTTCCAGAATTCTACATGATAGGATTTTGCCGCCCAACCGAAATTCCAAGTGTGGAGTTAACGCTTATTGGTATCGTGCTTACTGGGTCAGTCTAGAAAGGAGATAAGCTAGAAGTGGAGTGAGAGAAACTGATTAAACTGATAAGAACAGATACTACACTTTGATCGTAGGCAAAAGGCCAAGAATCGATTGTATTTTCTTGCCACCTTACGCTGGCCGTATATGACACAAGTTCAGATTAATATGAGGAGCCGGTGGCGTGAACCTGGGCAAGATTCAAAAAATAGCCCAACCCCCATAACAGTCGGTTGCTCTGGAATCGGTATTACTTCTGACCCCCTCCCTCTTTCGGAAGGTACTGTTTTCGGCAGCTTTTTTCCGTGACCGGGCACCTCTCAGTAATATTTTCAGTTGCGCTCCGTCCGTAGACAGAGACACATCTGAATTGCGCTCTGTCCGAAGGTAGAGAGATAAAATCCAGTTTATCCGCCTGAGGGCAGATACTACACTTTGATCCCAGCCAAAATCCCGAGAAGCGATTGTATTTTTTCAGCGTACCCACTGCGTTACTGAATGTGACACAAAGACGAAGTTTAGAGTGGGTTTTCCGGCAATACTGTAGAAAAATTGCTTAACTCCCATCGGCACTTTCCCTTTCTGGGAAGCCTCAGGCGCCGAGCAACTGACCCAGCTCCCTCCCGAAGGAAAGGTACTGCCTGAGAGTAAAGCACCCTGCGGCTTGGGCTTCAAAATTTTTACCCTACCCGACCCCCGAAAGTGCAGAGAAGCGATGGCAACCGCAATAAAAAGGACATTTTTTTTTCAAATGAACAGCATCGAACGCGGGAAATTGAGTAAGACAATCGCCAAAAATCAAGTTACCATAAATAAAATAACATCGCTTGCTGAATTATTGTTAAGTTATTATTTAGAGAAATGTTTGTAAAACGGGGATTTGGTAAGAAAGAAATATTTGTTTAACGTCTCCTGCCAATACCTCATAAATAATGAACTCTTCCGTTAAAGAAAGAAAGAAAGAAAGAAAGAAAGAAAGAAAGAAAGAAAGATTTGTTTAACGTCTCCTGCCAATACCTCATAAATAATGAACTCTTCCGTTAAAGAAAGAAAGAAAGAAAGATTTGTTTAACGTCTCCTGCCAATACCTCATAAATAATGAACTATTCCGTTAAAGAAAGAAAGAAAGAAAGAAACAAAGAAACAAACAAACAAACAAGCAAACAAAGATTTGTTTAACGTCTTCTGCCAATACCTCATAAATAATGAACTATTCCGTTTTGATTTCATAGGAAAACAAAAGAATACGCTACATGGTTTCAGTGAAAAAAAAATGAAAGGAGAAAAGATAAAAATGTTTAACGTCTGTTTCAGTGAAACTGGAAAAGATGTCAATTCCAAATCTTTTTATGTGTACCCACTTCTTAAAAATAACGACCAGCATTCATATTTATGATTTTTTTTTTTGCAATATTTTGTTAAAGTTGTTAAGCTCAAATATTTAACGATGTAATATTCTATAGATGTGTTATTGTCATAGAACTCGACATGAGCTTATTCAATCATTAACTGAAGAATTAAGAATTAGGTAAGATTCGTCAAAAATTCAATAGGAAAACCGTGAATTTTTCACTGGTCTTTCTACTGTACATAGCCCCCTCATAAATTCCCGGAACATTGTTTTCTTTTAAAAAAAAATGCGATAAAGGGTGAAACGTCAAATTTAGCGCCTTATACAAGTCATGAAACCACATACTTTGACTTCCTCCGCCCGGCGATATCAACCTTGGCCTATCACCTGGCATTCGTTTTACCAAATGTAATGTGTGCAGGTTAAAATACAAATAAGATTTGCACTTTGAAATGTCATTCTGTTTATCCATTTTTATAGTTTGCAATCTCTGGAAGTTTTTTTTTCTTAATAATCTGTTAATCCTTTCTGTTCCGTTTTTGTTTTCAAATTAGCATGGACAACAAAAAGCAATCAAAACAAGATAATACAGCTACCTTGACATTTACTTAACGATATACAAAGAGTTTTTTTAATGACATTTACAACTCTCGATGTTTTGAAGTTCAGTCTATCACACTACGACAGAAAGCGAATAGAATAGAATTTTCGAAACGCATCCTATTGTTAAATCCTCCAGTACAGTAATATTGTTATATAGGAATAAAGTGTCGCTGCGGACACTTGAGTTTGAACATAGATTGCCATTGAGCAAACACAGGCGATCTCATTATTGAATTAAGTAGACCATGTAACCATAGAGGAAACGCATAAGTAGGAAGTTTCATAACGTCTAATTGATCGTTATTTCTATTCTATCCTCTATTAATATTCGGATCACTCTTTCTACTCTATCCTCTATACTATACGCACCGCCATTCTCTATTCTATTCACCATATTATTTCTCTATTCAAATCGCTATACTGTGGTTACTTTTCGAGCAAGTATTATTGTACAAGTACTATTTGTGCGAGTGATATTCGAAGGCGTCTGAAACAAGTATTGTTCAACGGCGTTATTATAGTTGTATCTGCGATTACAAAGTCTCTACTACAACGAACATTACGAAAGTGACAACGAGTATTCGTTGGCATTACAAAAGTGGCAAGGAGTGTTCGATGACATCACAAAAGGTATATTTGCCGAAACATACCATGCCATCATAAGCATCAATAATCGTGACTGGTTTTTCGAAATAAAACATGCCACCAAAAAAAGTAGTATTCTGTTGGGCAAAATGCTAATGGGGATTTTATAAGCGGATAATGGTAAAATGACGAAAGTATGGTTAACCTAGTGAGGATCGAACTCACAAGTCAGTCGTAATTTATCTAGCAAGACAAGCTTGCTAACCATTACACCACGTCAATGTGCCCAAATGACTTACTAAGCGTAACTTTGACGTGGCACAAGGCCGAAAATCTGAAGCGACCAATGAGGATCGAACTCACAATTCAGTCGTAATTGATCTAGCGAGACAAGCTTGCTATCTATTACAGCACTTCGAATGGCACAAAGGACTAATGTTAATGCAATAAAAAATAAGACATTTAAATATTCGACATCAACTTTGTTAGACAAATATGTCTACGATTTTGTTCCTTATTTCGGCATTTTTTCAGACAATTCTATCCTTCTTTTTTTTTAAGCATTTCACCCCAAGCAAGGCGAGAGTTCCACTAGTATGCAAGGGGTTACAGAGAGTGAAAGTAAGAGTAAAAAGGGGTGTTTGAAAAAGGATAAAGAGAAGGACAGGGATCAAGATCAAGGCATCAGAAGATAATGATAGTCATTTTATTAAACCCTGTCACGAAGACAACATATAGAAACTATCTCACTTGTTGGCTATTATAGCATGTAGGAGCTTCCTTACTTTTCTCGATTCAGCAGTGGCAGCAACGTAAGTAATCAGCAAGATACAACCTGAAGACCCAGAAATCATAAAATCCCAGACATAGCGCCATTTGGCCTCTTTTTCACTTTTCCCTTTCAGAGGCACAGCTCGAAGGACTACTTGTCGTGTCCACTAAAATATTTAATAAAAAATACTTAATAATAGGTAAATACTTCC